CACACACACAGTGTAAATATAAATTTTCCTGAACTATGACAAGAAGGAGAACACAAAAAAACCCAAAGCAGATAAAAGGTGGCTTGAATTTCCAAAAACGATGTCTAACCGTAAGTGCTTTCGCACGAGTTCTCATTGTGTCGTCGCCTTTTGAAGCGCGAAAATAGCCACAACAATAAGGAGCCCGGGCAAACTAGTATCCACCTACCCCCACTCCTTTAACTCTTTTTTTCTCCAAAACACATTATTAATCTTAACCCTCAATTAAACGAAACAAAATACAGCTGCACCATCAAGGACGTGCACTTGTCAATAAAGGGCAAAAAGTATGCTTAAAACAAGAAGAAAAACAGATCCAAACTCACAAACCAAACAACGGGCGTCATGTGGTGAGGGAAGTTTATGAGAAACGACATAAACGCTGGGTTTTTTTTTATTTTATCACATCTACACACGATACACTTGCGCCCTTTGCAACTGTAGTAATTTTGACCTTCATACTTTCTGGGTTAGAACTCGTTTTATTTGATGCAAGTGTTTATACGCCCCTATCGATACAATTTAGATCGTTGAGGAGGCGAGGTTCGACCCTACTTGCTAGGGACAACCCGGGCTGAGAAGGATACAACAACGTCCCTGCAGACAGGCCGACTTGGTCTATAAAAATTCTCCCCATATAGGAATCGAATTCAGGACCACTGCGTGCGAAGGCAAAGCGCCTAACCGCTACACCACCGAAATCGGTTTCAACGAGCAGCAGTTTAAAAAATCACCGAATGTTGTCGATGAGGTGGAAATACCGTGTCGAAACAGGCCACGTATATGGTGTCGCGGTGAGGCGCTACGCCATCGCAGGCAGAAAAACTGAGTTCGATTCCCGTGTAGGGAGAATTTCTATCGAGTATCTCGGTCTTTCTGCAAGGACGTTGTATCCCTCTCAGCTCAGATTAACCCTGATAGCCCACCTACCAAATGATCTAGATTGTGTCGCTGGGTACATTTTTTAAAAAAATATTATCTCCAAAAGACGAGATAGCCACGGCCAAGAAAAGCATAAATAAAACTCTGAAAATACACGACAGAAAAACTGACGTTGGCATGGCTGTCACCAAATGTACATGCATTGTATAGACAAAACATTTTCTCTAGAATCGGAAATATGTCAATCAAGCTTGAATACGCGAGCAGTCTTCAAGGTCAAAAATGCGTAGTCACGGTTTTTTAGTTTTAGTAACAGTTTAAGTTTTACCTCACACGCAAAACAAACAAGTAAAAGCAAAATAGTATAAGTGCTGAAGATAAGAAATGATACTAAACAGCAACACACAAAGAAATAGCTCAAAGGAGTAGAGATAAAGAAAATACATTTTTTTTAAAACAAAAAAACAAACAAAATCAGGCTAAACCAGAGCACCCGCCAACTACCCACTCATCGATTATATGGGGTTAGCATCACATCGAGGGTGAGACACTCCCTGGCCACCACGGTCGATGTGCGGGGGTGAGCACGTGAAACGAGCGGTGCAGGCCACGTTCAGACGCATGAGCACATTTCATTTGAGTTTTAAGATATTTTGAACATTCCGTATCGGGTTAAGTGAAGAGATTCTGGTGCGCATTTACCCGATAACGGTCACTCAGAGCTCTTCATAAGCAGGATAATTTTTATGGACAAAATCATTTTGTTAAGCGCACAGATCTTACTCTTGAGCGGGATGTTGCGTAATACTAATAATATTTATTATTATCATCATCATCATCATCATTTTCCTTCTTCTTCTTCTTCGTCGTCGTCGTCGTCGTCGTCGTCGTCGTCGTCGTAGTAGTAGTAGTAGTAGTAG